AAAAAAAAAAAAAACAGATTCTTCTAAGGAAATAAGCAGAAACAACACTGAGCATTCCCTACACTGTTTTATCTTTCTGAGCACAAGACAAGAGGATCTTTCCCACCCTCCTTGGCAGGCAGGTCAGAAACAAGAGTTCCAGTCCCACCTGGGTGGAAGTGCTGTAGCCACTTCCAAGTCCGGCCCTTAGAAACCGCTGTGGGCTTCTCTAGCTCCGTTTCCCATCCGTGGCAACCTCAAACGATATGTGTCCAGACATCAAAGCTACAAGCTACAAGGTAGAGAAGGACCACCCGACCCACGTCCACCTCAGTGAGAGAAAGGAATGAACATGTGCAGCTGCTCAGTTGCAGGAGCAGCTAATGTGAAACCCTGGTACAGCCTACAGAGTTTCCTACCCTGAGACTATATGCACGCACCAAAGGTGTGCCCAGGCTGTTCACCATAGCACTTTTTTTAAAGATTTTAATTTGACAGAGAGAATGCGCGTGCATGCATGCACACAAGCAGGGGGAACGGCAGAGGAAGAGGGAGAAGCAGGCTTGGGAGCCTGACCCTACCAATCCCAGGACTCCGGGATCATGACCTGAGCTGAAGGCAGGCACTTAACCGACTGAGCCACCCAGGTGCCCCTGTAGCATTTTTTATTTCAAAAATTAGAAACAAAAAAAATGAACATCAATGGGAGATTGGTTTAATAAATGGTACCATGTTTCAAGGAACCAACAGGCAAGCATTTATTAAAAACCCTAATTTAGGGGCACCTGGATGGCTCAGGTCATGATCTCAAGGTCCTGGGATCGAGCCCCGTGTCCGGGCTCCCTGCTCAGCAGAAAACCTGCTTCTCCCTCTCCCTCTGCTTGCCACTCCCCCTGCCTGTGTGCTCTCTGTCAAATAAATAAAATATTTTTTAAAAACCCAATTTAGATCTTCATTTATTAATATGGAAAAATGTTCATAATTATAGTTGAATTTAAAAAAATGCATTACAGTATATGCTAACTAAATTGAATTTAAATAAAAAATTAAACAAAAAATACAAGGGTGCCTGGGTGGCTCAATTGGTTAAGTGGCTGCCTTCGGCTCAGGTCATGATCCCGGGGTCTGGAATCCAGTCCCGTGTCCAGTTCCCCACTCAGCGGGGAGTCTGTTTCTCCCTCTCCCCTGGCTCCTCCCCGTCGCTTGTGCTCTCTCTCTCTTGCTCTCACTCTCTCCCCCTCAGATAAATAATCTTTTTTAAAAAATGCATGATAACAAACTGTACATACTGTATGGTCCTAATGTTAGAGGAAAAAGTCTGTACAACCACTTATTTGTGTATACATGTACAGAAAAAAATTTGGAAGGATACTCATCAAAATGTTAATAGTAGTTCTATCTCCCAGTAGTTAGATTTTAGATATTCTATTTTCTGAAAATTTCAGGGAGTATTTTTAAAATAAAGGTACTTTTAAAAAACGAACTAGCTAAAAGATTAAGCAAATTTAAGACTTAATTGATTTGCCTATTTTGGAGTACATGCTCATTTAATTTGTGCTAATTTTCTGACTCTGGTAAACTAGACTCCCCACAACATTGACATTAGATAGACTACATACTAGCCAGACCAAAATAGATCGCAAGGCCAGAGACAGACATTTCTCTTTCACAATGATGGACAAATGACTAGTGGCCATGCAGTCTGGATGTTATTAAAAGTTATAGTATTTATAGCACCAGCATGCGGTCTTAACCCAATCAGCACTCAGATACACATGAAACTTTCATTTTGACCAACCTTAATTGCTGTTTTCCCACAGGTGCTCTGTTTTGGTGATGTCACTACTACCCAGAGTAGTCTCATCTTCCTAGAAACAGAAGCACTTCAATCCACAAATCTGTGGCAAACATTTTGTTTTCTGGACTAGTATCAGACACATGGTTATATATCGTTCTTGGTTTCTACTGCTAGTACTTCAGTGGAAGAGTGGCCAGAGCCCGAGTTTCCTAGTTTCCTCTTTTAACTTCTCAGACTACAAACTCTCACCTTTTATTGCTCTTGTATTTCCTGAGCGTCTAGGAGGGAACGGGAGAAAGAAGACCTGACTTTTATCTTTGAGAACATTTACACTTATAGGAGGATTATTAGAGAAAGAATTAAAAAATGAATCAGGAGAGAAAGAAAGTTTTCTCTTCCCATTATCCACTCCACACATGCGACTTTCTCTCAATTATGGCACTTAGAAATACAGGGTGTATCTTATGACAGCCTCTCAGACATGTAAAAAATATTACCTTTTTTTTTTTTTATAAAAAAATCATCTACTTCACTGGTAAAAACTTTAGACACAAGGAAAAAAAGAAGTATAGTTAAAGACCTTTGTCTTCTTAAAACTGGTAAATGGTTTTAACAGCTCCCCCCCCTAAAAAAAATGTACATATAGATTTACCTCTATATTATATTCTGCCCCATCTGTGTTGATTCTTATTGTAATATCATCATCTCCTATGTGGGCTAGAACTCTAGAGTCAGGTTCACCTTAAGAGAAAAAAAAAATTCCATCATTAAGAAATACTTATATCAAAAAATAAACTATGCACTACTGTCAGTAAAAATCAATCAGGTCCTTCATCAGAGTGGAATTTGCCTAGGTACTATAGAAATCTACCACAAAGAAACACAGGCCCCAACAAAAAGCAAGATATTCACACTCCTAAAGAGTAGCCTCAACTCATTTGAAACCTTTCTCTTTCCCTCAATCCTCTTGTAAGAATTACCTAGAGTGTGTTATAGAGCAAAACCAAAAACAAACGTGTACATATCCTTCCGAAATAACTTCACCTATTATAAGTTAAGAAAGAACTAAGAGGAGGGCGCCTGGGTGGCTCAGCTGGTTAAGCATCCAACTCTTAATTTCAGCCCAGGTCATGATCTCAGTTGTGAGATCAAGCCCCCCACAGGCTCTGTGCTAGGTGTGCAGCCTGCTTAGGATTCTCTCTCTCCCTCTGCACCCCCACTCCCCCCCCCAAAAAAGAGAAAGAGAGAAAGAGAGAGAAAGAAAGAAAGAGAAAGAAAAAACAAACAAAAGAACGAAGAGGAGGCAGAAAGCATGATCTGGAATACACAGGGCTTGAACTGCACTATTTGCAGATTTTAATGCCATTTCTTTTTTCTGCAGAGGAAGTTCCAGAAGTAAGCCTCAATTGTTCATTTGATATACTGTCTTAAATAAATAACGGAATCCTAAAGTCAATTATTTTATCTCCTAGCTTCCCTGTTTAAAATCTCATAAGGGAAGCCTACAATCCTTCCCTGGAGACAAGAGGAAGTTAAATTCTTATCAACTGGGAGAAAATTCATTTTAATCATTAAAATAGACAATTAGTATACATGCTAAGATAATCCCCATCTCCTCCTGTCTGAATGTTCCTCTTTCCAAATTTATGTAACTCAGATAAAACAAAGAATAGCACTTCTCTGACATCCCTTTTTCCTCCCACCAAGAAATATGCAATCAAACTAGATCTGGATACCTAACACCCGAAGACACAAAGGCAAACAAACAAGTCCATACTAACCAACCACATGTCCACTGAAGAAATCCTGCCATTTGACGGTGTACTCACTTTCATCTTTACCATCTACCACCACGACTTTGAAATTTTGGGAAAAGCGCTCAGTACTTGATGTCAGGTATAATTTAAAATGCCTAAAGAAAGAATGCATCCATATTTTACTCTAAGCACATAAAATTTTCACATAAAATTTTACTCTAAGCACATAAAATTAAACTTACTTAAAAAATAAGTTGACAGAGAGCTGACATTAATAAAACACTATGCAAGTTATAACTACTGTTTTACTAGGTACTCAGCATTATATCACCTATAAAGACGAATAGACAAAAAAAAAATTTTTTTTTTTGACAAATTTCTTTAGCTGTAAGAATTTGGCAAACCAAAAAAAAGACCAGATTTTGGCGGGGGGGGGGTAGATTCAAACAGCTTATGCGTTCATCTTTCCTGGAGACCGTGAAGAATAAGGAAACACACGTGGATAATTTAAGTTGGAATCCTGCTTGTCTGAAAAATTTATCAAAGACTGGTATTATTAGATATGACTTATTGAATACCTATTCTGCACTAAATTCTGCTTACATTGTCTCCACTTCACACAGTAAATACTGCTGGCTGGAGGTCAATCAATATACTCAAGATTACACAGCTAGTAAATGATGAAATTGGAAACTGAACTTCCTTTATTTCAAAAGCCTGTACGGGCTGCCTCTACCAATCAAGCTGGTCTTATTGCTGTGCAAAATTAATAACTGCTACTTTCTATATTTAAAAGCACTCATGCTTTTTTTCTCCTTCTAAAGAGAACTTATCCTGAAAAAAATTAATCCACAATTCCTATGAGGAAAATAAATATAAGGTATCCAACACAGACATTAAAATACATACTCCAGCTCTTTAGTTGGCTTGATATTCTTTTGTTTTCTACCAGTTTCAGTCCTGACATAAAATCTGGGTATGGTGAGCAAGAATTTTTCAATTATTATTTACCCTTTCAATGTGCCCATGAACACCAAAGATAAAGGTATGTTTTTCATCTCAACCACAGGAACAAATTTTGTCAGCCGTGGGACTGAAACTATGAAATGTTACTTCCCCATGGGTTTGTCTAAGTCTAAACTGCCAGAAAGAATCTAGACTAGGACTGTCTCCATAGCAACAAATATTTTTAACTTTTTGAGCATAACAAGGTAATTTTAGTTCTCTTGTGGTTTTTTAATGGTCAAAGAGAAAGACAATAGAACATTATTTCAAAAATCCTTAGAACATCTTCTCCTGTTCACCTAAAACCTATCTTCCCACACATTCACAGCTACAATTTTTTTGTTATGCTGACGACTTTGTTTAAAAAAAAAAAAAAAAGCATCCCTATTCTAAATGCACTATTCAGCTTCAGAGCCCTTTAGGAGTCTTAATATTACTTTTACTTAACATTCTTTCTAGAAAAATCACTGAATTTGCACTTTGTTTTCTACGCTAAGAATCTGCTCTTCTATAAAGATAAGGACCAACAGATGGTAAAATTCCTGTTTTCTGATTTTTCCAATCTTCACCTTTGAGCTATAAAACTTCCAACAGGATATGTCGGTCAGAATTTATATTTTACTTTATCTTACCAAAATTATGTGAAGTCATGTACTTATAGACTTCCTTTAGCATTTTCATTTATCTGAGTTTTGATTTAAGGATTTACAGTAACTACAAACTAGTGTTAATCCGCCTGAATTGACAATATTTCCTTCTTGTATATATTACACACTGTCTAATTAAATGTCACCATATATAGTTACCAATTTATTTTCTTATGATGAGAACTTTTAAGATCTACTCTCTTGGGGAGCCTGGGTGGCTCAGTCGTTAAGCGTCTGCCTTCCGCTCAGGTCATGATCCCAGGGTTCTGGGATTGAGCCCCACATCGGGCTCCCTACTCTGTGGGAAGCCTGCTTCTCCCTCTCCCACCCCCTCTGCTTGTGTTCCCTCTCTTGCTGTGTCTCTCTGTCAAATAAATAAATAAATAAATAAATAAAATCTACTCTCTTACTAAATTTCACATATGCAATACAATATTAACTATAGTCACCATACTGTACATTACAACCCCATGACTTATTTATGACTGGAAGTTTGCACCTCATGTCTATTTTTAATGGTCCATTTAGCTGGATATGTATCACTTCCATTTCTCTACTAGTTCTATCCCTCTTCAAATAATTTGAGATATTTCACTTTTAAGAGAAATATCTAAATCCTTTTTTAAAAGTGCAACATTAAAAAAAAAAGTGTAACATTATCAAAAAGTATTAAAACAATATTTTTAACTTTTTCATTACTTTAGAATAATAGTATTTCTTGATTTATAAAACAGAGGAAATGTTAACTTCTAGGCAAATTTCAGGTTTTTTCTTTGTAAAATTACTTTTTAACTTCTCATACAATTTCTCAGTGTTTCCATGCTTTTCAACTGCTATTATAATAATCATATAAAAATTCAATTTTATGACCTTGGTTTAAATTACCTTGCCTTCCACTACTGTCTAAAACCAGAAAATCTAATCATTTACAATTACCATCAAGTAATGAGCAGCTTCACATTGGTAAGTTCGGCCCTATATAAACTGATCATTTCAAATATCCCACTTCGTTTTCTTTTAACACAGCGTAACAGAAAGGGCCTTGGAGTCTGACAAACCTAGCTCAAATCCTGTTTCCACCACTTACTCATGGCCTTAATCTCTGAATCTAAGTATCTTGATCTACAAATGAAAATAATACCATAATGCCACCTACTAATAACTGAATAGTTTTCAGGGTTAAATAAACTATTTTAAAGTACCTGATCCAAAGTTCTCCTACACAGTTAGATACATTTCCATTTAAACACTTAAGATGGGGACGCCTGGGTGGCTCAGTTGGTTAAGCACCTAGCTTTGGCTCAGGATATGATCCCAGACTTCTGGGATTAAGCCCCAAGTCACCTCTGGCTCCCTGCTCAGTGGGGAGTCTGCTCCCTCACCCTCTGCCTCCGCTCCACTCCCAGCTTCTGCTCTCTCTCACTCTCTCTCTCTCAAATAAATAAAATCTTGAAAATAAAAAAACAACCCTTAAGATGGAAACGCTATAAAATAAATTACAAATCTCCCTGCTTCTTTACACAGAGAGATAATATGTAGATATTGTTGAACATTTTCTTAAAGAACCAATGTCATCTATGAGACCTGAAAGAGAGGAATGTGTGAGGTTATGAGAGTATTTCCCCCCATAGAAAAGACTCTACGAGCCACCTCAAACCTAACTTAAAAAAAAAAAAACCTAGAAAGCTAAATTTTGAGTTCTTATTTTGCAGCTTTCCCCTTATCCTTTGCTCCTAATTTATCTCTTAATACTATACCCGCTCCTGGGATGCCTGGCTGGCTCAGTTGGTTAAGCGGCTGCCTTCGGCTCAGGTCGTGATCCCAGGGTCCTGGGATCGAGTCCTTTATCGGGCTCCCTGCTCGGTGGGGAGCCTGCTTCTTGATCTGCCTGCCTCTCCCCCTGCTTGTGCTCTCTCTCTCTCTAACAAATAAATAAATAAAATCTTTAAAAAAAAAAAAATACTATATCCGCTCCTTCACCAAAATCCCTATCTGCACAGCAGAAACAGCACAGGCTTGTATTCAAATCCTTTATCTTCCATTCACTAGCTGAGTGACCTTGAGCAAGTTACTCAACCTCTCTGAGTCTCAATTTTTTTCCCCAAAAGCAGAGTAACAAAAACTTTGTGGAGCACAGTGAGAATTAGAGACAGCATGTGCAAAGTGCCTCCTCAAGTAAACTACACAAAATAAGTAGCAGATAGACTATGATTATTATTATCATCACTGTTCAAATTGGCTATACGACTGGAAGCTGGATAACCAATATGACAATATTTTGACATGAACTCTGACAGAAATTATTCAAAAATAATCTAAGGATGATGGCAATAACTCAAAAAAATACCAAAAAGATACTGTAAAATATATCTGCATAAAATATCAGTTACACATATGATAAATATACTAAGCATGACCACAGTTCAGGATCCAAATAAACCAATCAGAAAAATGGTAAAAGGATACGAAAAGGGAGACACAGAAAAATAAATCACTTATAAACACGTGAAAAGATGCTCAATTTCACACAAAATGAAAATCAAGACAAATATGAGACACCATCCCCTTTCACAGGGACAAAAATTAAGGGCTGATAAAACCTATTGCCAAGGACAACAGGAAACAGGTAAGCTCATACACTGCTGCTAGAAGAATAAATTGGGCTAATGTCTTTAGGAAGAAATATGGTAACATCTGTAAACATTTATAGTATGTATACCCTTGACTCATTCTCCTTTCAGGAATGTATCCTGTAAAAATACCTAGACAGAGTATATTCACAAAGATATTTATTGGAGCACTGTTTGCTATAGAAAACAAAAATCACTTCGGTTAAACGATATGTATTTATAAGTTATTAACCAACAAATCGTTACAATTCTATGCAATAGGAATATTTATACAGCTGTTAAAAAGGAGGTAAATATATTTATCTATATTACCTACATGTACACAGATCTACATGCAAAAAATATGCATTAAAATCTTTTAGAGGTTAATTTGGGAAACCTCTCTAGGTCAGCGAAGTTTGAGGAGAAGTGAAAATTTCTTATACCCTCCATAGTTTGCTTTTTAAACCAAGTTTATGTATTACTTTCTTTTTAAAAAATATTCCTTGGAAAAAAAAAATATTTCTTGGGGGGGCGCCTGGGCGGCTCAGTTAAGCATCTGCTTTCAGCTCAGGTCATGATCCCAGGGTCCTGGGATCGAGTCCCACATTGGGCTCCCTGCTCAGCAGAGAGTCTGCTTCTCCCTCTGCCCCTCCCCCTGCTCATTCTCTCTCTCTTTCTCTCAATAAATAAAATCTTAAAAAAATAAAAAAGATTATAAAAAATAAAAACAGGCCTTCCCCATTTGTTGGGGAAGGCCTAACCTACAAATTCAGAGTGATTCAGTCCATTTACACCTCTCATTGTGTGTTTTGATATTAGTAAAGCTCCCTAAAAAGACTTCAGAAAGAGGCCTGCAATTATCTAACAGATTTATATCTGCAAAACATAAGAGAAAGCAAAAGAAAAGAAAGAAAAGACCACATCAATTTATGCCACAATGTAAGAGGAACTCAATATACACAGAGCACTGATTTCTCTATCCAGCTTACCACAAGGCTGTGGGGTCCTGAACAAATCCTTGATCTCTAAATCTCAGTGTCTTCACATATAAAATGAAGATAATATTTAGTACACAGTTGATGGTTCTAAAGTAGCATACAATATTTTAAGGTATCATAAATCATGCAATTAATTAAAATCCTTTGTTAGAATCCCACAAACATTATTACCATCATTAATACCTTTGGAATACCCATTTGCTTGTTTTTAATAATCATCACTATGAATTTTAGAATAAGCAATAAGTAATATAAGAATTATGACTGTAATTATATCAATTACAAATTTTTAAAAGGTAACTTCCTAAGACTCCAGTAAACACCCTTATTTTTCTACTTTTGCCAAACTAAGTCCCCCATTGCCCCAATATTTTTTTATAAATAGTTCAAATTACCTTTTCAAAGCTGAAAAAGTCAGTAGTGTTTCTAAATGTGTTGAGGCCTGTAGATCCCTTTTTCTTACTGAGTGCTGTTGGATATTGGATAAAGAGAGGATATCGTAGTCTGAGAGTAAAGAATCAAGCTTTTCTGAAACAAAGGTAAAAAGGTTATTAACACCTAAACTTACTAATCAATTTTAATATCACTAAAATGACAAGGTCTGACAACAAACTCTTTCTGACATAACGCATTTTGAAGTGCTAAGCACAACCTATGAAGCGTTCTTGCCAAAACAGATAAATAAAAAGCAAAAAAAAAAAACAAACCACAAATTAAACCTGAATTTAATCAAGACCTAACTTCCAGTTTTTAAGACATAAAGGGATTAGACTGCCAAATTAACTAACAACCTTAGGAAGCAATCAGCCACATCCAGAATGTCAGAATTCCTACAGAATAAATGACCCAATTTCTTCAGGAAATAAATGGTATGGGAAAGAAGGGACAGGCAGAGACATAATACAGTGGTCCTCTCTTATCTGAGGTTTCGAGTTCCGAAGTTTCAGTTACCTGAGGTCAGCTGTGGTCTGTCAGGAGGTCAGTATACATGAGCCTAACACCAGGTCAAAATGCCTACATCATTCACTTCACTTCACCTCAACATGTATGCAGTTTATCATCTCACAGCATCACAAGAAGGGTAAGTACAGTAAAATAAGATCTGAGGAGGGGGGCGCCTGGCTGGTTCAGTCGGTAGAGCATGCAACTCTTGATCTTGGAGTTGTGAGTTAAAGCCCCACGTTGGGCAGAGAGCTCACTTAAAAAAAAAGATTTTGGGAGAGACCACATTCATGTGACTTTTATTACAGTCTATTGTTATAATTGTTCTGTTTTATTATTACTGTTGTTAATCTCTTGTTATGCCTAATTTAGAAATAAACTTTACCGTAGGTATGTATGTACAGGAAAAACATTCCGTCATAGGGTTCAATACTATCCACAGTTTCAGGCATCCACTGGGGGTCTTGGAACGTATCCCCCCACAGATAAGCAGGGACTACTCTAGACAAGAACACAGCAAGCAAGCCAATGTGTGAACCTTTTTGGATCCTACATCAAACAAATCAATCTGGAAAGATATTTGTGACAATTGGGGAATCTGAACATGAGTTCATATTCATACTAGATACTAATAATTTTGCTATCTCAGAGTGTCATATTACATTATCAGCTAAATTCTAAATTCAAGGCATTTCTGGCTTGCCTGCTTAGAATTTCTAAGATGAAGGTGACCAACTTGACCTGACCACTGCTAGGCTGGGCTACATCAATTCCTTATCAATTGATGTGTAGTATGAAAGAGCAACAAATGAACAAATGTATTAATGGCCTGAGCAAACAGAAAGTAAATCTTTACAGAGAAATTACATATTCCAAATTAAAGAGCAAAAGAGTGGTAATATCCCAAACACTGCTGCCCTCAACAGACACAGAATGATCAATCCACTGGACATTAGAAGTGATATGACCAAACTAATCCCCGAAAAAAAACCAACATTAATTATTTTACCCAAATGACTTGGAACCCAAGATAAGCAAACATGTGCCGCCCTAAAGATAAAACAAAATGTTTTTATTTGGTACAGAGCAAAAGTAAACACTATAAAGGATATGATACCCATTAAGTCACTTTTCATCAGCAACTCTGCTGCCTCTTCCAAAATCAGGAGGATTTTTGGAAGAGAATTTTGGTGACTGAAATCTCTGTAGAAACTGTCTAAAAATATTTGAGCTGATGCTTTCCTTTTCTCTCAACAAATATCACTACAGAAGCAATGGTATTCAAAATCATTCCACTGGACTTAGAATGTCCTTAAAATATAGCACCAGGAGCTTAAAATACAAGTATATTGTTCCTGAGTTTACAATATGCCCACAAGACCACTTTTAAAAGAACTGACCCAATACTCTTCTCCTCCCTCTTCTCCCTCTTCTTCACTCACCAATTCATTAATTCACTATTATATGCCAGGCTCTGGTCTCAGTACTGATATAGCATTAAATAGAGCAAAGTCCTTGCCTACTGCAGCACTCGTTTTAGTGTGGGAGAGACAATGCACAATATAGGTCAGTGCTATGGACATTAAAGCAGAATAGCAAAGACAGGGAGTAGGCAGGGCCCGTTTATAAAGAGTGGTCAAAAGAAAGATGCTTCACTGTTACACAATATTTAGGCAAACCTGAAGAAAACAAGAGGTAAGCATGTTATATGATGAAAGTAAATTTCATCAAAGTCCATCCAAATCAGGGCACCTGGGTGGCTCAGGCGGATAAGCTACTGACTCTTGATTTCGGCTCAGGTCATGATCTCAGGCTCATGAGAGCCTGTGTGGGGCTCTGCGCTCAGTGGGGAGTCTGTTTCTCTCTTTCTCCCTCTGCCCCTCCCCCAATGTGCACATGCTTGCTCTAAAATAAATGCAAAAAATCTTAAAAAAAAAAAAAAAAAAACCCATCCAAGTCTCTAACTCAAGATAATATTAAATAAAGTGGCAGCAAAGTTGACATCTGTTGGGTACCACTCGTTTTCCATCAACAAAACTTCCTTTAAAATTTAATCCGTAGAAAGGCTGTTTCAAAAGGCATCAATCACTTTTATGCCAATAGATGGTCCTTGGTGATTTGGCCTTGTTAATTACAAGGCTTAGCCGCACCAATGAAAAACCTTCAAGCAGCTTACCATTTATTCAACTTTTTTTTTTTAAATGTAGGCTCCATGCCCAACGTGGGTCTCCAACTCATGGGCCCAAGATCAAGATTCACATGCGCTACCGACTGAGCCAGCCAGGTGTCCCTATTCAACAATTTTCGAGTGTGTGTTTCCTACAAGACATCTTGCTGGGTGTTTTATTATGTAATCTGTACAAACATATCTGATGTAGTATCCCCTTTTTACAGATGAAGAAACAAGCTCAGGGAGAAGTACATCACAAAGCTAATTTAGCACAGAACCAAGATTTGAACTTGAACTTCTCTGGCTGAAAACCCCAAGCTTCACTGATGTCATACTTGTGAAACTCCTTAAAAATATCCTGGCTCTGGGGTGCCTGCATGGCTCAGTCGGTAGAGTGTGAGACTCTTGAGCTCGGGGTCATGAGTTCAAGCCCCATACTGGGTGTGGAGCCTACTTTAAATAAATTAATTTTTTTAAAAGTTAAATATATATATATATTGCCTATATACGTGTGTGTGTGTGTATCTGTATCTCCTAGGGGCGCCTGGGTGGCTCAGCCAGTTAAGCATCTGCCTTCGGCTCAGGTCATGATCCCAGGGTCCTGGAATCAAGCCCCACATCAGGCTCCTTGCTCAGTGGGTAGCCTGCTTCTCCCTCTCCCTCTGCCTGCCACTCCCCCTGCTTGTGCTCGCGCTCTCTCGCACCTTCTGTCAAATAAATAAAAATCTTAAAAAAAAACAAAAACAAAACCTAGCTCTTCCTGGACCTTCTACTTCTTGGCCTCCTACTTTTTGACGTGTTAACCAAACATGGCCTCGCCTCCCTCTGAATTCTGTAGCCGTTTGTTAATACCTTTTTTCTGGCACTTTTGTATTATATTTGTCTTCTCTCACAAATAGACTGTAAAAGAGCCAAAAGGGAGTTGGGCTGTATTATTCACAGTACCCTTACCTCACAAAACCCAGCACAGCACCTTGCAAAAAACAGCATTGCTGTGTCTACAAATTGCACAAATCCTCAATGCTGAGATGCTGATACAATCCTTTACAGCTCTTCAACTTCCCTGATACAGGTTGGTACATGAATTCAGTTTCATTCAAGATCATAATCACTCCTACTGCCTGAGAAACTTAACCTCAATACTGTAGTGTCATTGTCAATAACACAAGCCAGTTGTTCTCAAAGTGTGGTCCCCACACCAGCAGCATCACCTGGGAACTTGTTAGAAAGGCCAGTTTTCAGGTCTCCTCTCAGTCCTACTCAAGTCAGAAATCCTTGGGTTGAGGCCCAGTGATCTGTGTTTAACATGCCTTCCAGGTGATGCTCATGCACTCAGGTTTGAAAACCACTGAACTGGGCTCAAGGAAGCAGCTCAAAGTGAAGATAAAAGCTTTAGGCACAAAGACGGTCCTTGTTCAGCCTTGCATTATTTTTAAGAACAAAAATCAGAAACAAGGTAAATTAATAATGGAGAAACAGATAAATTATAGCACTTCCAAATGACAAAAGAAAAATCTCCAATTATTAAAAATGCTGGTAACAACAGATTTTTAAGAACATGGGAAAATACTTACACTATAATATTAAATAAACAAGCAGATTAAAAAAACTATTCATATTGCATGATCTTAACTATGTATAAAAATAGGTCTAGAAAAAAGAAAGAGCACGAAAGTAACATCACTGGTTATCTTTACGTATATTTTCCATAATAAGCACTTTTAAAATGTAGCTTGCTAAAGCACTTTAAAATACCTAACTAATGTGTTTCAACTGTAATTTGTCCTCTTATAATAACTAGATACCTCACACTGGATGCCCTGGAACCATTCCAGACAACATGATACAAGCACCCCCCTCATGCCACAAGCAGAGATCCTGCTCTCACTACAGCCCTTCACCAGCAAGGAGCCTCTCAGATACTTGGCATTTCACCCTACTTCACCTCCAAAATTCCAACCACTGGTAATCTCAACTTCCTATAGCTTTTTCAACAGAATTTGAAACACTTCCCAAGAGTTTATCTTTTATCTATATCCAAATCTCTCAATAAACTTAAGTACAAGCCACTTAATTATCTTTCTTAGCACTCCACAATGGCTGCCCAGGGAACACCTTCCCGGCTTTCTACAAGTTGTTCCAGCAGTCCAGCAGTAAACAACTGAGCTTTTCTCATTTTAGCTGGCTACAAACACAAAATTAGAAAACAACAGACACAATTCAAAAGGTCAAACTAGAGCACTACTTTATTTAGGTATCCCCTGCCCAACCCTCCCCGCTCTTCTCTGCCACATGCTATGGTTTCCCTCACTCGGCCTCCTGTGTCCAGTTAGTTTCTAGTCTTAGAAACACTATCCTCCCTTACTGCTTTTGTATCTTTGCCACCCCCACCGCTCCTTTCCTGCATACACATTCT